GGAGAGGGAGAGGGAGTCAGAAGATGAAGTACATTGAATTATATTGGAACTGTGGGAATTCTGCAAAATTGCCAGCTGCGGCTTCCTTATTCCAACCAAAAAATGAACTCTGGCGGTTTTGACCACATGGTTTTGACCAACGCCTTGGGGTCGAAGCGCGGAGTCGCAAGGCTTCGTCTGCCCAACTCCAACAGCTGGTGTGTCCAACTCCAAGGAATTTGTGCTTCAGCACTCAAGAAAAAGCTTCCTCAATGGCTCATTTTTGGGGTGCTTGATGAAACCCAATGTTTGTAAGTTTAAGGGACCACTGGTTTGCTATTGCAGTTCAGGCCTGGCTCCGGCAGAGAGCACCGATTGGTGGACATTGGCTCTCCATCGATCTGCGCGATCTTTTTTGCGCCGATCAATCCAGACACATGTCATGTCCTCTATACAAAAAAAAAGACTTCTGGTAGCCGACCAATGCTTTACTGGCTCCAAGCTTCACCCACCAAGGCGAGACCCTCCCGATGTGATCAAACTAAAACAGCTGAATCATCAGTAGTGACGCAAACATGTCACATTGTCACATGCTTGACGACTTGACGGCTTGGTTCAAAGCCAAACAAAACATACAGTTGCTGTTATTTTCCTGGCGACCTCAGCCTTGGTGCTTCCGGCAGTCAGACGAGGTGTCCCTGCAGATCTACCGAAGGATAGCCATAAACCAGAAATTCCATTGTGCCAGCTAAGAGTATTTATTCTCGAGTCTCGAGCTTTTAAAGAGCTTGGACGTTCGACCATCTGGTTGGTCTGGTCTGCTTGCGCGTCCAGGTGTCTGCTCGATTCTGCTCGGATTATACTGTCATCATTTCACGTGCGTCTTATTGTTTTCAGGCGCGACAGCTCCGATCGTCTCCGGGGAGATCAGAGGAAACTTTGAAACGACACTCAGTTTGTCGTTCTTGGCACAATCCTAAGGCTCCTTCAATATGCTAATTCTGTATTTGATCCATTCCGATACATGCCAAGCACGTTGAGTGCAAAGATGTGCATCGAATTTCCGCACTCAAGAGAAGGCATGCGTGAAAACACCAAGGCTCATAGATACCATTGCCCAACGAGCAAGGATATGGAAGTCATCCGAAGAACTTCGTTTCCCTTTACTCCCCTGTGACATCCAACACTTTCCGTTGGGGCTTGGATTTCGAGGTGGTTCCTTCTCTCCCCGCAACATCAGACTCGAACGACACCAATAAAACCACATAAAACCCATGATTTCGAGCTTTCTACAGACAATCTACAGTCAAAAAGAGTCCCATGTTGAACAAAGGTTTTCCGGTCAATTCTCCCTGCAAACCGCCTTTTGCGCTTCTTTGCTACATGGTCATAGTATGTCATGATCGTCTTTTGACAGGGCGGGAAAGTGCATTCTCTACACACCAATGCATCCTCCCAGCATTCTCAAACGCCTAAGGCCTTCTTGGCAGGTCACCCACAGGGTCGGTCAGAGCATGGGAAAAGGCGATTGCAGGATCGGATCCGGCAACCTCTCGATTCCACGATCAGTTTCTGACTGCCCAACGGGGGAGGGAACTTGAGACTGGCCTCCGAGAAGCGATTCGGAAAAACCACTCTCATACTCGGAACAACAATCTAGATATTCTATGAAATCCTGTACCATTCCAATGCTACTGTCGCATGGCCTGGTTGTGCCCTGTTGCGCTTTCGCCGTCAACTATGCAAGTTCTTAATCAATTCAATATCTTCAACGCCACAAACGTTCTCAGGCGAAATCACATTTCTTGAGGGCCTATACAAGAAACATCAAGAAACCATATAACTTTTGCAATAATTAAAGAAACATTGAGGACACATGACACATGCCTTATACTGTTGACTTTGAGCAGGCTCTTGTCCCCTTGAGCATCTTGGCCAGGTCCTTCATGGTCTTTTTCCTTGGTCATAGGACCCTGCACAAGGAGGAATCACTACGAAAGATGAAAGCACATACTGTACATCTGAGTCCCCATCAAGCATCTCCAGCTCTAAAGTGTTTCGTTGGGACACCCACTTTAGCACTGAAAAGCTGACCAAACACAACACATGTCAGCAGACCCTCCTTCCGATCTCTTCAGCCTAGCTTCAGGTTTGGTGCTTCCATCGTTCCGAGCCGCTCCACGCACTGCGCAGCTGAGGGCCGATCATGTGCATTGGCATGCCATGCCTGAACGAGGAAGGTACGAAGCTCCGGTGTTCCCACGGAAGCATCCAGATTGGGTCGTGGCTCCTCACCTGCGCCGACGCGGAACCGCAGGAAGGGAGTATTTGGTCAATCGCAGGTCTCCAATGGCTGACCTAAGTCATGGATTCTCCTGTATGTACTACAACCAATATGCACAAATCCCTGGAAAAGCACAACATATCATAACTAATGTGCAAATCCCAGGATGTGTTCTTGATGGTCTTTTCGTGTTTGCAATAACCAGCTTCTGCATGTCGCCGTCGGTGGATCCGTTCGCAAGACAGCACAAAATCATGCCGCATCCGTTGGCCCGGAGCCTTCTTGGTAGGCTTGCAAGACGACTCTGGGGTCCTTTCCATACAAGTAGAATGGCCTTGCATGACTCGGACTGCACGCTGCACAACTAGTGACTACGGATGTGAATGTGAATGTGTGTCTCAAAATAGGGGATCCTCCAAGTGACCCTCACTCAAATCCCTCTGCCAATGCAGCCAAGAGACTGCCGTCCTGAGAAGATGAAATATAAGATCAAACTGAAGGCATAAATGTCCACTTTCTCGTCATAGTCTTCATGACGAGCAATCTCTGGAGCCATGTAACGCCAAGTGCCAATACCTCCCGACATTTTGGGTGATTCGTCTGGAGATCCGCAACGCCTGCAGCAATCTGCAAACAACATGTCGTGTCGTTTCGTTACAAGTGCACAACTAAACGGTTTAGAGCTCCTTCATGTACATATATAATCTGTTCTTGTTGTTGTTCCAGTTCAGTGAGGCTTTTCCAGCTCAGGAAACTAGGTGGAAAGACTAGAGTCACGGAAAGTGCGCGAAAAAAAGAAACACAGAGGACAAAGTCAGGTGACGAGATGTCCCAGTTGCTGACCCTGCGAGTCGAGGCATCGAGACAAGGACATGGTCAAGGTGCCGATTCCAGTGCTGGTGTACATCAAAGCTTCGGTCTTGACTCACTGTCATATTGTGCCCCATTATGAAACCTGGTATCATTTGTGAGGCGCAAACTAGAGAGGCCCCCCACATTCCTTCTTGGTACAGGTTGTAGAAAAACAACTATGCTGATGTTGCACTGCGACAAACCCTGCTGTACTGACATCTGTCAAGAAAACAAGAAGATGTGGTTTGTGGCGAGCAGCTGATTCTCAACGCTTGGGTGGCCAACTGGAAGTGCACGGTCCAGCGGGCCATCAAGCCCCCTTTGAGTACAGAACAAAATAGGGGAAGTTTTGGACGTGCATTGCATCAACATGTCCAACTCTGTTGCTACAAGCAAACTCTGTTGTTTAAAGCAAAGCTTGCAAAGGCCACCCGTTGGAAACACTGAGACATTTGAAATTTGAGTTCTGAGGGAAGTCCGGTTGAGTTATGCTCAAAAAATCTTACATCTGCCATGTCATATTTTTTGACATTACGCTGCAGCTTTCGCCTACCTTCCACGAGCACAAACCCAGCCTACCCCTGTGCACTTCCTGGTTCCGTCTGCGGAAGCTTGCGAAAGGAGTTCTGCGAACCAGGTTTGAAGCTTGGAAATCAACCGGCGGGCATTCGCTCCGGGTGTTGATTTCATTGGACCGGTTCGGACGGTCTGCCGCAGGCCTGGTTACCATCACCTTGGCCAGGCCGAAATCGCCGATCTTCACCTGGAATGAGGCTTAGAAATGTTCAAGAAACCCATGAGTATAGGCTGGGCATGGATCAAAAACCTATCACTCAGAAGCACCCAAAAGCCAAATTGACCTCCCTTATTCAATCCTATTCATTTTCACATGCGCGGCGGCAATACTCAATAAGCGCAAAGAAAACGCGAGTTGGGGCACTGAACCCCTTTCCACAAGGCCATTGGAAGGAACCATGTTTGCCGAGGCCATTGCCCTGGTGTCCACATGGCCATTGCCCCGGTGTTTGGCCGAACAGTCACTCTGCCACAAACCGAAAGAAAGACATCCTTCTCCCCTTCTTCCATGAAGAAGGTCCCCTTGTTGCCCATTTGAGATCCATTCTTTAGGGGGCTTATGTCGATGGGCGTGCCTCCAAAGCTCTGAAAAGACTTGGGGGACGGGCCCAGCGGCAATATATGTCTCGTGTCTCGGCTAGCGCGGCCGCGCGGCCTCCAAGTCCTTGGTCAGGAACATGTTCAAGGGCTTAAGGTCCCTGTGGATGATGGGATGTGCTCGACCATGTAAATACGCCAAAGCCTCACCAGTGGACAAAGCCCAGCTCATCGCCAAAGCAAAGCAAGGTTTCCAGAAACCATCCACGGAACTGGCACGTTGCTTGTGCATGTAGGTCCTGGGCATGGAGAAAAGAATCAATTGCTTGTGATGGTTCTCAATGATCCTTCGGTATTGCTTTCACTTGTTGCAAATTGCTTCATCTTGGTTCACTGCTTCGCTGGCCTACACAGTTGTAGACAAGGCTCTCAACATCCTGATTCTCCAGGAATTCGGTCACCAACATGGGTTGAGCTGCGTCGATGCTTGCACCAAGCATCTTCACAAGGCACGGGTGGCTCACCTTGCTCAAGAGGAGAACGTCATTGATGAGATCGGTCAACTTTGCATCATTCTCCTCCTGATCACCTGGGTGCACTACTAGTTTGTTTGGACCAAAAATGGTCAACTTCCTCCAAATTTTCCTGGCCTCGTGGGAAACGGCCTATCCTATCCACCATTTCTTAATTAGTGTTTTTTTCTTTGAGCCAAGCCTTCAGGATCCATCTTCAGCTGCTTTGCAGCCACCAGTTGCCCCCGCCAACCAGCCACAAACACCTTGCTCTTGCAAGTGCTGCACAGCTCCCGCTGGAAGACCACATCGCTCACATCGATCAGCAACGACTTCTCGCTCAAGTAGCTCTGGATGGATGTTGGACTGGTCGCACCCTCTGGCAACACCGTGCTTTGAGAATCTGAGAAAGGATCACATGGACCTTCCTGGCCATTCTCGAATACGTCATGATTCAGTTGAGAAACTTTCTTCTCACTTGGCTCATGAGCCTCTTGAGAAATGCTTGACAGCAGTGCTTGATCTTCTGGGACCTGATTAGTGAAGCACCAAGAGGAGGAGTTAGCCATTCTCCTCACAGTCATCGTGCTGCACTCGGCGCCCATGATCGCAATCACATACTGACTTACAGCTCGGCCAAAGACACTGCAGCAAGGATGCAAGAATGCATTGTTCTCTCTTGATCATTGAGGTGAGGCATCAAATAATTGAATTGCTTTAACTTGAGATGTTGTGCCATCGGAGGCCGCATGTTGTGTGTATGTATATATATATACAGTAACACCTTTTGAACATCTGCGTACAAATCCTTGTCACACTGGTTCTTGCTGTCCCTGTTGTTGATGTGTGTGTGTGTGTGATCCCGCTGAACCAACCTTGTTGATGAGGTTCATGACATCTGGGTCGTTCTGATACTTGGCGATGTTGCCAGGGTTGCTCATGATGTCCTGCAAGGAGAAACCTCTTTGAAGAGCGAGAGGAAAGAAAATAGACCAAGCACTAAAGCCCATTCAAGCAGAAAAAACACAAGAATTGTGATGAATTGTGTGCTTATGCAGACAAACACCCAACCCACGATCTTTAAAGACTTGCTGGATAGTGACGACCATCCGGAACTGCAAACAAACGATGGTCGCTCACCATCATCCCATCGTCGTCCTACTTTCATGGTGTCCTCTCTTCCTGGACACAGTTGGTTCATCTGGATGCTCTGAAGTTGGTGTCGGAGACCCTCGCACGCGGCGACTCCTGCATGGCTGCAGCCATCTTCGGATCCGAGAACGCCTCGCCCCGGGGGGCGCGAGAGCGCGGAGCTCGACGTCCAAGGCCGTGTGGAGCGAAGGACATCGGCGGACCAGGGGGTCAAGAAAACCAACCTACTAGCCATGACCTCCAACCTACTAGCCATGACCTCCAACCTACTAGCCATGACCTCCAACCTACTAGCCATGACCTCCAACCTAGTAGTAGCGATGGCCTCCTACGCAGAGGGGAAAAAGCAGGAGGGCTAAACGGATCTTGGCGGCCCACTGCTAGCTGCTAGGCCGGTTGCTTTTGAGGCCAGTGCTGTACATGATGGGTCTGACTGACGCATGTCTTTTTCCGTTGTTGTCTGTTGATCGTCTCCCTCAAGCCACGGACGAGCCTGCATGAGCTCAGGATCGCTCATGATGCCACTCAGCATGCTAGGATCGATGCCTCCCGCAGCATTGTTTGAAATACGTTTGGGTTGTTTTGGTTGGCCACTTGGTCAGGAGGTTTCCATAGGTTTCCCGATTCCAATGGGTAACCAAAAGTGGTTTCAACACCTCATGTGTATGTGCTTCAGTTGCTTCTCTTCACATCTCCTCTCCATCGACTGAGACCACCTTCTATATATCTATCTATATCTTGATTGAACACTAGTTAGATCTTGTACCTCAAAGACGGGAACCGTACGGCATCGGGCACTTCGGCCGGTTCCCTCACCAAAATTCCTTGAAAAAGCCCCTGGGGAGAATGTGCACGGGCGGCACCACCAGCTTCCGACCTGGCATGCCGGGCATGCCGGGCATGCCACCCATGCCGCCCATGCCGGGCATGCCTGGCGGGCACTTCAAAGGACTCGTGCAATGGGGCGACTCCCAGTGATGAAAAAGGATCTTGACGAGAACTGTCTTCCACTCACAACCAGAGTTGATGTCCACGTTTAGGCCATGCTGAGCTGCAGGTGTATCTGTGCAGATGTAGATGTCATTCGAACCCATAGGCTATATGAGTCCGCGTTTCAACCCTGAAAGTTATTAGTCATCAAGATTCATCATGATACTGCAGAGGTTGACAATCTATACATGAGAACACCAAGTATTTCCGGCCAACCACACATCCATTCACAAGCTCTCCACCGTGCATGGCCTGGGAAGCCCGGAAAGCCGCCATAGCCATCTGATGACGAGGCGCGGAGGGGGATGGAGAAAGGACAGGCTCATGGGGAAGCCGGTCCTTAGATCCCCCGCGAACAGAAATTCAACCTTTATACAGTGGCTCAGTATCAAATGCAAATCAGGGCTAAAGGATGCTGAAGGTCTGAGTGAGCACGCCTCTTTTTCAGGACTGTCAAGTTGGATGAGGTATCCCGGTATACATAAATCATATGAATTCATCATGCGGGGTCCTGCAGGTCAGCCATGGCTTGGACAGCATTTCAAGCTGTATGACACGCTGTCTTCTGGGATCGACAAGTGAAAAAAAATGCAGTATAATTTAGATCCATTTCGCCATGTGTCCTGACAGGTGTATATATGTGTCCTGACAGCACAAAGAGCGAAACGAGGAGTCCATAGACTGGAGGAGGAGTGATTGGTCTGTTCCGGGACCCAAACGTATCAACAACACCGACCGACACCTGCGTCGGACACCTGGAGAACCGCCCGGTATCGACTCCGATGGAAGGCCGTCGTCGTCTAGAAGTGGGTTCACTCCTTAAGACCGGGACACCTGGGCAAGAACGTGGGAGGTTGGTCGCAATATGTGGTGGTTGTTCGTCCGCGGCTGATCTGCTGCCCTTGCGGGGAGCATCGGATGTTGCGAAGTCTTTCGTTCGGGGGGGGTGGGCAACAAACACGTCTATGAGTGCATGCTGTGATGTTTTTGGCTTACAGGATGAAGGTCTTTGACACTGCAGTTGTGTTGAGTGAATCTTGGGTAGATTGGGACAAGGTGGCTCAGTGTCGTTCGAGGTTTTTTGACGGGGTTCTTTTTGCGAGAGGACAGACCCCTAACAATGTGTTGACGTCTTGTTGCTGGTTCTGAGTAGACGAACTTGTGACAGCTTGTGAAAAGGATTGAAAAAGATTGAAAAGTGGAAACCTGCTGGGAACCTGCAACAGAAAGTCTTGAACCAAGCGAATGCCAAGATCTCAAGTGTTGCCTACTCGTGGCAATGGAAGCATAATGTGTGCATCAAGCGCGAGTTGAACGAGGTGATGTGACCCTTGCGCTTCGCTGTAGCGAAACACACGACACGAGCACTTTCCTTGGGAGTGATGAATGTGATGCACCATCGAAGATAGTTCAAAAACAGATCTAATTACTGTACACAAAGCAGCCGCGGACACGAAAACATCTAAAAAACAAAGTGTATGCTTGGATGGATCTTCAATGCTTCCGGCCGTTCTCCTGGTCATGTTTAGGCCTCCGTCGGGGTTCTTCTTGGCTTCCTCATAGGCACGCTGCGCCTGGGTCGGAGGCCGCGACGCCCACGACGGCAGCGGAGGTGTCAAGTGGGCACACAGGTCATGGCAGTAAATTTCCCTGCGAAGATGGGCTAGTCCGATTTCCCTGGTTTTTGGGGATTTGTGGTGACCACCATTTCAGACATACAAATGGATGGTCGCTACATGGTTGGACAGTTGGATCACATTGGATCACTATTCTTATCTAGACAGGGGACACCGGACACCGAGGGACTCGATAAAAAGAGGTAGTGGCCAAGCCGGAAGGCCTGAAACAAACGTGCCTAAGAGTTCATGGTCTAAATATGGTTTGATGGTTTCCGGAAAAAAAGGGGTTTCGGCAAACAGAAGTATGCCTATGGCCCTATGGCGACCGAACTGGATCGTGCTGAGCTATCCATCAATTTTCTGAAGTGATGAAACATTTGGGATCGCCAAGAGGGACCTGCAGGTGATGCTTGGGTCGTCCACAACCAAGCATTAGTTTGTCCTGGAGGAACCTGTCCGTCTGACGGACAGCTCCCACGTCAGCCACATCAACTAAGCTGCTGGAAAGGGATCAAACGGGTGTGTTTCGACCGAATGTTGGAGTCTCTGAAGTACCTAGCCGCTTTTGATGTCACGACGAGCGATTCACGACGGGCGATCCTTCCAACAGCAATCCGAAATCGCAGAAACACAATCCGTTGTTGAGTGCTTTGATGTGATTTCCATGTTTGTTCCCGAAAGCCACTGCGAAGGTTTCTCCTGAACGAACAGCTGCCAACTCCAACTGCCCCATCCATCATCATCATCAGCAGCAGCAACAGCAGCAGCAACAGCATTATCCTCATCCTCCTCTACATCATCATCGCAAACGAATCACAACCATCGTCATCATCATCACCACCGTCATCATCGCTATTTCATTTATCACCATCGCCATCAACCATCAATCATCAATCATCAATCATGAATCAGAATCATCATCACCATCATCATCGTCCTACAGGTGCAGAGATGCAGGTGAGGCAACTGCTACAACACACCTTGATATATATAATATATATATATATACACATATCATATATATATATACATATGTATAAGGTGTTGGGAGGATACAGACATTACATGCAAGTGTTTCGAAAAAGGTGTTGAAATACAGGTGTAGAGATACATGTGTAGAGATACATGCTTGGTTGACGAAAGTCTTGTTCCCGAAAATGGCGCGAATTCAGAAATCCTTGCGTGCCGCTTCCTGTTTTCCATAAAGTTTACACTAACGGTGAACGTTTGCTTTATGGTATACGGTATGGCTTTCTTCGTTTCACAGCAAAATACACTAGCGCATACTTTTGTACCTAAGCTGACTAAAGCTGCCGTCGGCACTGCTAGATGAGCTGCTCTCTGCACTGCTTTGCTGCATGTGCTTGAGCTGTTTGCTCTGCCGGCTCGTGTGGGCTTTGGCGTTTGTCAAGCACCGCTCATACTTTGCCTAGGAGCGTTGCGCGCATTTTGTTCTCACACTATTGGGTCTGTCATTTGGGCCGTGCACTACCGGGCACGCATTTCAGCAATTTCTGCTAGCGCGGAGCTAGCGCGACTCTCGTCCTACCACACGCAACGAAGCTGTGGGCGAGAGTGGGAAGCAGGGACTGATCATCCCTCTGTACCTGCGATGTTTTGAACTTTTGATCAAGCTGTTACTCCAGTTTTCCTTAGCAGCCAGTGAGCCGATGTTCAAACAATACCAGTTGCGGACCCATCCCCATACCGTTATGCAAGTCAAGGTCCAACTGCTGCAAAGTCAAGGGCTAAAGCACCAGCGAATTACATTCTGAAACGCACGATCATTCATGTGAGCTATGAATCTAAGTGTGTGAGTATCGTCGAAAATCAAGGTGGAAGTTACACTGCCATCGAAAAACTAAGAGACATCTGGGAGGCGTCTGGGTTCAGAACTGGCAACTGCGTCGTAGAATTGTAGTGCAGGCTCAGAACTGGCAAAACTGCAGTACAAATTATAAATTTGCTGTGTGGGAAGCAACTTCTGGAGGTCTGGGATCAGAAGTGGCAACTTTGTAGTACAAATCGAGTACCGGAAGCAGCTTCTGAGAGCTCATGAGCTCAGACCTGGCAACTTTGTAGTGCGAGAAGCAGCTTCTGGGAGCTCCGGCGCAGAACTTGCAACTGTTTAGTACAAATCTAGTACGGGAAGCAGCTTCTGGGAGCTCTGCGCTCCAACTTTGTAGTACACATGTCGCACGGCTGAGGAACGGGACACGTGCGTGTGTCAACGCGGCGTGCTGCTGGCGAGCGAGATGATTGGTGCTGTGGTGTCACATGGTTGCATCTAGTCTGCGACACAGAGTGCGGCGAAATTACGCTGTGCCATGTTGCTTCTTTTTGTCGTTCTTGGTCACTCTGCTCTGCCCCGAGGTCTTTAACCTGGCTGCAACTTGCGCGCTGCTCTTCTCAGTGCGCGAACAGCAACTGCCAGCAGCACGTTGCACCGCTTGTTTCAAAGTCTGGGTTCCATCCTGCGAAAGGGGTTTCTTAAAGGTCGTCCTGCTATACGTTTTCACCTATGATTATCACGATGCACGTCCTTCTCCTTCTCCTCCTCCTCCTCCTCCGCCTCCGCCTCCTCCTCATCCTCATCCTCATCCTCCTCCTCCTCCTCCTCATCATCATCATCATCATCATCATCATCGTTGTCGTTACCTTGTCTCATCTCCTGCTGTGCTTTCAGGCCATCCCGTCGTCTAATTGGGGTATCTACGGGTAGGGAAGGGATGGCCCCTTCCAAAGATTTTCAAGTGGGTCAAAGAGCAAGTGCGCCATCCTCCCACCCTACCTTGGAGAAGTTAACCCCTAAACTTGGTCGCCAAACCGAAGAACTTCCACTGCTTCACCACACAAACTATCAGATTCCAACCTCACTACCTCCCCCCTTGCGCACGACCCTGTCTTGGCCTCCTCCTTTCGGCGTTTGCGTTCCTGAATCGGATGGGTCACAAAGAATTCCCTGAAGGAGACAAGCAACTGCCAGCTCAGAAATTCTGGGAAGTACCACAGTGAGGTGGCGCCTGTTCTTTCTTTTTTCTCGGCTTTGATCCTGCAGTGTGCTTGGCACAGTCAGCTACTGTCCCTTTTTGACTTCGGAAGAGACATAAAACGATGATTTGAGATTAATCTTGTGTTCCAATATAGCTTCCAATATTTAACAAATGATCAAATAGCAACAAGAATACTATTATGTTTTGTTCATTATATAATAGCATTTCTCATGTTCATTCTATATATCTTTATATTGGTGTATAATGAACATGAAGATAAAGACGTAAGACATCCATATATATTATTTGGTCTTTTTACCCATCATTTGAACCGAATCTAAATCTAGAGGTGAAGAATACCAAAAGACCAAATATATGTGACCATCAATAACAAGCAAGAGTTGACAGTTTATTCTGCTATTACTTGATGACAAATATGTGAATGAATGGTTATATAGTTAGTGTTCAGCATTTAATTTGGTAAAGACCAAAAAGCTTGAAGATTTAATGCTGCAAATGCATGAATCCTAGCCAATCTTCTACAAAATAAGTTATTGAACAAATATTGTCATATTGTTGTCCAAATTCTTCTTGCGAACCTCCAAAATGTCTCAAATGTCTCGCAGCCTTTGCAAGTTAGGGTTGTCCGGGCTGTCCGCGGACGGGCCCGGTCCAACTTTGCTGTAGGCCACAGCCAGTAAGTCCGTCCGGTATCGCAAACCCAAACAACGCCGTCTTCAAACAGTCTTCAAACATCCCGCTCCGTTCTCTGTTCTTTCGCTCTGCAATCTTCTTGTACTTCGCGTCCACAAACTTTTGTAACTGGCCAAAGGGACCAGCGAGGGGCAGCGGCGAAGCGTTGCACGATCCACCGGGGGGTTCTACGTGCAACGCCTCAATGATGGTGCTCGCCTCAAGGATTGTACTCACCTCAAGCGGGATGTCCAGTCGTCCTTTGGAGGCAACCACGGTAACCACTTTGAGAACAATTGGGGAACAACAACCGCCAAAAGCCGAAGGCCCAAATGCCTCAGCCATACCAACTGAGACTCATGGCGAAGGGGGTGGTAAGTGTTGCCCAATGACATGAGGAGAAGGCTTCAAAGCTCACTTGTATTGGATGGACATCAAGACTCTTCGGCATCACAAGAAGTACGCTCCTAAAGCTCTACCATCAATAGTGCCACCCACAAAAGAACATGCCTCCTTCTCTTTCTTCTCTTTCTCTACCCAGTCCTGCTCCACACGCCCGCTCGCCCGTTCCTGCGCTCCCTGCCTCGGCGGTGTCGTCGTCAAAGTCCAACTTCTGGCTCTCCGCCAGGTCTTGATGCGCCTGATCCCGGCCATGGCACCCGTGTCTGATCCGTCTGCGCTGGCTCGTGGCTCGTGAGTCCCTTTTAGTGACCTGGAACCACAAATCCACCTTAGGACACCAGGGGAAACGCCTAATCATCTGTCAGAAACAGCACAGGGTTTTGCTCAGGCTCCAGGCTTGCTATGAGATGCCAAAGTCACTAAAGTCTGTATGGCGTATATCAAGCTTGGGAGCTTGCCAGCGTCCATTACTCGGAGGTGGGCTGTACATGTTGTAGGATCCGACAAACCCACATGACGCATGGTCAAAACATGACTGTTCCCTCCATTTACATGGAACATGGGCGTTGGATGAGTAGCCAGTAGCCATGTAGGTTTGATGAGGCGTCCATTAGTGACCCAAGAAAGCAGTCATGTTCATTCTCCCTGAAACTCCTCGTGGGCCACACACTGCGCTCCTGCCTCTTCCCAGTGGCCGAGCAAGCGATGAGCCTGGCAAGGATCCGCGCCCATGAATGATCAAGCTTGGCCACCCTTTCACCGGCGAAATTCTTCTGGCCGACACAAATCTTTCCGGAGCCAGGATAGCCAGAGGGTCCTCAAAGATTGAACCAACAAAACCCCTTTGGAATCTGGTTCCCAACAAAGTCTCGAAATATGTAAGTTTTAATACAATAATTATAGCGGTTGCTGCCTCTCGGGGTCGATCCTGGTCCTAATCACTCGGTCGGATGTGAACTGAGTCGATGGTGGCATGGCTCACCAAGACAGACCTGGAAAAGGGACCGTGCGAAGGCCTGGAAAGGCCTTTGAAGATTCCCATCCTTGGTGAATGATGATGATGATGATGATGATGATGATGATGATGATGATGATGAT